AACGAAAAGCGAAGGCAGCGCATAGCTGATAGATATGCTGGTTAGTTTATAACAAATGCAGTCCTGGTATTGGTGATGGCTGCTCTGGGTAGAACACGTGCTGTTTGTCCCCCGGCAGGAAGTGTTTGGATGCACCATGTCAGTGGCCCTTCTGTCACAGTGTGAGTTTATACAGTGCTCAGAGTGCATCCAGCAGAGGAGTCCCTGGATCACAGAGCAGCAGGGCCAGAGCCATGAGTGAAAGAGGAGGTATCCTGAAATGGGAGAGTCATCACCACCAACCAGTTTGGCTCCAGAATGACTCTGCCCTGTCTCCGAGGCCCACAGGTCAGAAGCTTGCTTCTCAGTGTGGCTTAATTGGAAGTTGGTGAAACTTTTGAAGAGATGCGGCTTTTAAACTGGAGCCACAAGGTTTGTTCATAATTTTAAGTCTAAATCACAACCTCATAAAAGATTGTCTTTCAGTGTTTATTTTGTTTGTCCACATGATGGAATGTTTACTATTACTCAAATTGGTACAGTTGTGTTTTCTTTTGTTACTACACCTGAGATAATGTAAATCAGACTTAATGGTCATCATGTGGAATTATGAACAACTGAAATTGGCTAGAGAAAGCCTGGAATACCACAAACAGAACTTAATGGGCAGTTGTGGTGAGGGATCAGGAGACCAGAATGTAGCCCCAGTGCAGTCGGCAAAAATTATGCACACCAGGTTTTAGGTGAAATAAAAACCTACTTAGGAAGCATTTTAATGGCCAAATCTTCATACCATGTGTAGGGAACTGTTGATCTGTTTTATTTTTACACAATTTCTCCTACTGGCAATGTAACTGAGAAGAAACTTGCACTTCTAAGTTTTCTGCAGTTATTATTAAGTGTTGTGTTTATTGGGCTGCATCATCACACACCAATCATGCACTTCACAAGACTGAGTCCATGGTTTTGTGCATAGCTGACAATTCTACTACATCTCTACTTTACTGTCAATTTGTTTTGCTTCCTTGAAATGTACTTCCCTCCTCTATGTCCTGAGATATGAAAATATTCAAAATACTAAGCAAACTGCAAATTTAATCGAAATGAGTTATATAAGGACATGTGAAAATTGGTCAGTGTTGAGAGCGAACAGAACAGACAGACCATCCCAACCCATCTAATTCTGAAAGTGATTTCCTGGTTCATGCAGTCATTCCGTGTAAGAGGGACACAAGAAGATGAAAGGTCTTATTTCTGTAAAATGGGCTGACACATTTGCACCTCATGGAGTGAAAAGTCATTCACATTGTGGTGACCAATGTGTGAGTTCTCTAACCCATGGGGTGTAAATCCCCTCCCCTAATAATTTTCTGTTAACTAATCTTTAAAAACATCTAGTTTTATTTTGAGAGGGGTTGTTGTATTGTGGATATGAGATGAAATGCACAGCTTGACTCATGCAGTTTCCTGTTAACATCAATTGATCTGCAGAGGAGCCAGCTCCATGCAGCGATCCAGGGAGAAGGGCTATGGACTTTCACTTTGACTTCTCCTTACCACACAGGATTGTCACTGCAGTCCCCTGGCTGTCCAGTGTCTCATGCAATTAGTGGCATGTCCAATTTATAGTCATGTCTGATGGCAAGGGCTGGTCATGACCCTGGGAGGAGCCCATTTCTTCTGCAGCACAGCAGGTAGGAGCAGTCCAGTGGTGGCACATGATCAGGATGTGGTCAGTATGTATTCAGTTCACACGCTGTGAAGGGCTCTGCTTGCTCACATCATAGACTGTCTCACCCTAACTTGGATGGTATGGGAGTCATGGAAACTTCATGTTCAATACTTCTCTCAGCACAGCCCAGATGAACCTGATCACTCACCAGCATGTCCAGCAGCTGTTGTGTTATAGTCATGGTGGTTTTCACAGATCTCCGTCATGTGGCACACATGCATTGTGTCTCCTGTGGTTAACATTTCTTTACTCCCTTTGTGCCCCAGGGTAATGATAATAGCACTACACCACACACTGAAAACCTGCCATGAAGGTGTGTCCTAATTGTTCTCAGTATAGGAAACAAAGTGAACTCAGATCATTTTATCTGTGTTAATGATGGAGGTGTCAATTACATAGATTTTGACACTAATTTCAGAATGTAGATGTGCATGAGATTCAACAAGTTGCACAGCTAAAGTTATGCTTTATTTATCTATCAGGACTAGGGTTTGCTTTTTTCAGCAGGGAACCTTGCTTCTGGGGCAGAGAGACTGTATCAGCAACAGAGTAACAACTCTAGCACCTGTACCTTTCACAACAAATGATTTATTATGAAACACATTTTTAAAAATACATTACAAAGAACTGGCTGTCATGTGGGGTTTGGCAGCCACACATAAATATTTAGGGCACAAAGAAACAGGACATACAGCCTTTCAATTGGCGCCAGCAGGACACTTAAATTTCACGCAAGTTTACCAATGCCTTTTTGGTAATTTATTGGCCCGAGTGTTTTACGAAAACCCTGGTAAACTTTTACCTCTGGAGTAAACTTTTAACCTGGTCTAATCTCTTACCTATTGATACCTAAGTTATTAGTTCAGGACAGGGAGATGAGCTGAGGGCTGTTGACCAAGATGCTTTCCCACAGAGCAAGGAGCCTAAACTTTTCTCTTGCTGGCCTTGCAGTGTTCTGCAAGACAGGTATATCAGAGCTGCTGCTTTTCGCAATGCTCCCTTTAGCACGGAACATAGCCTGGACTTAAAACCTTTTAGGCTCATCTCACTCTGGGGCATGCCGACCTGGTTTCCTACATCTCCTCCCCTTTTTTTTAAAAAAAAAAATAAGAAGGAAGTACTTATAGAGGCCACAGTATTGATTATTGAAACTATAATACAGGGGATCACTATTGATGCTCCTACAAGAAGAAGTATGTCAATCAATATGGGGCTCTAAAATGGACTACACAGTTGGAGCCACACTGTCCAAGGTATGGAGAATTCAGACATCTTACTGACTTCCTTTTGTAAATCATTAATCTGTTGGTCTATAGTATGTGAAAAATCAGACAAATTAAAACAACACATTCCTGGAAATTGTTCACATTCCATGTGACTTTTTAACAGTAAATAATCTATATTAGCTCTATTTTGTAATACAGCAATTCTTAATCCTCCCATTTCCTGGTTAATTTCCCCTAGTAGTTTTGCATTGATATTTGTTGTTTTACTTGATATACAAGCAAGTTTAAAAAGTTCCTTTTGCATTCCAGTTACCAAGCCTGGTATCAATTAGAGGTTACTTTAGATCATTCAGAGGATTAGATCAGCAAAGGTGACATACCTACTTGGTGGGGGACAGGTGAGAGCTGTGAAAGCTGGGCTGGGCCATCCTTGCTTCTGCCTCCTGGGGTTGTAGAACAAAGAAGCTGTTTTTAGTTTTTATGGAAATGTGTGGATCAGAGTGCCAGGACTCTATAGAGATATTCTGGCAAGCAGAGTGGGCTGTTTAGCTTTCTGCAGTTGTGACATTTTACCACGCTCAAAATAGGGATGCAAATGTTGACAGTGGGACAGTAGTGAGACATTTGTCTCTGGGAACCTTTTACTGAGAAAGAGTTCTCAGGTAGCATGGAGCAGGAACATAGTCTAAATTGGTCTCAGGTAGTGGCTTGGGCAGTCATACAGGCTGCTTAGTCAGGGGATACTGTAAACGTTTTTGGAGACAACAGTTAATTCAGGATAGTGCAAGGAGGGTACAGGAAGATGAGCTGGTCAGCTCTGTCCTCATTTCATGTGTCCAGGTCCATGGAAATTGAGGCTTCTCCTTCTGGGGTCTCCTCTGCTTTCCCAAGGTCATTGTGGTCATCTTTTCTGTAGGAGGCTCCATTGAGCCATCTGATGTATCTGAGTGGTGCCCATTGGTAGGAATATTCATCTTCTGGAAAGACACAAGCAAACCGTATCCCCATTGTTAGTAATGGAGCTTGAGTTTTATTCCAGAGATCTGATTCATGGTCCCTCTAAAGTACCTGTGGCAAGGGCTGTGGGACAGTGAGTCCCTACCAGTGCTTGGCCATTTGAGAAATTCCTTGATCATTTAGCAAAAAAAAAAAGGACAGTTGAGACCTGTGTAATAAGAATTGAGAATTCTGTTCTGTTATCCCAGGTATAGGTGATTCCCCCCCTTTTTTTTATTTATTTGACCTTTGAGACTCTTGTTTTGTCTCTCTATTATTGCTTGTCCTTGGGGTGTAATGAATGCCAGTGGTATGTGAAATACCCAAAGTTTGGCAAAATTGTTGAAAGGTTTTATTAGTATAGAAGGCCCATTATCTATTTTTATTTGATGAGGTATTCCTAAATTTTAAAATGTTTGAATAAGGCATTTAATTACATCCTTTGGTGTCTCCTCTGTATGAGCCATGACATTTAAAGTCAAGGAATAAGTATCTCCTCTTCAGTGAACATAGGTAAGTTTTCCAAACTCAGTTATATGAGTTATATCAGTTTGTAAAATCCTTTTAGGCATCAGGCTGTGAGGATTGACTCCAGACATCAGATCTAAAGGAAGAAGTGGGGCACATTGAGGACACTATTTACCTATAAATTTAGCTTGATCCTTAGTAAGGTGAGGATATAAAGCTTTTAACTTTTTGCTGCCTGATGAAGGACTTCATGCATAAGGGCGTCATAATATTTATTTGTTTGCTTAGGTTATCTGTTTGTTGATTTAAGGAAGATAATGGCCCAGGCTGTCTAGTATGGGAGTGTATATGAGTCAATAACAATAGGTGCTCTCTTTGGTGAATTTTAGGTTTTAGAGGTATGAATAAAATTCCATTAGGTTCTCCTGGTTTATGTTGTAAAAATGCTGTTTCTAATTTTAGAAGTGCCTGGGAAGCATATTCAGGATTTGTGTAGATATTTATGGGTTGAGGAAAGAGTACAAAGCTTTGGAGAACAGCATAAATTTCTAAATATGGGGCAGAAGCAGGAACAGGCATATCCCAAGAATGAGAAATGTTTTGTTTTGTTTGAAGCTGTTGTAAAATAGTAGCTTTTTTCTTTTTTAGTTCCATTTTTAAGTAGAACTTCTGCCCCTTGGAGAGGTGATTGTGAAGCAATAGTGGGGGTGTGATGGGGTTCCATACCACATACCTATAGTCAGGAATCAAACTGCTTCAGATTCAATCCAAACCCACCATACAGAACTGTTCTCTTCCGACTGTCCCATCTGGTTCCAAGAAGCAAAACCCTAGTTTTTGAGTTAAATTATTTTGTTATTGGTAAGGGAAAAGACTAAAAGAACGTTTGTATAATAAAAAGAAATACAAAGGGAAATTCTTTAGTAGTTGTAAGTAACTTTAACACTAGTTTGCATCCACTTAATTCCAGACTGTGAATAAATGTGTAGCAAAAGTCAGAAAGGGAGACTGAAAAAACTTTATTTTTTTCTGTAACAGTAATTATAATAACACGAACCACCTCCTTGTATGTCTTCAAACTTACTCAGACCTTTAATGAACTTGTTTAAACATTCTTATTATTTCTTCCATTCTGGAACTATCCAGTCATCTTAATCTTACTAACTTTGACTTTCCAACTCTTTATCTTTTCTTAAACTTCCTCATTATTTTTTGATACTCTGAAACATAACATTTATAAACAAACCCATTGTTTCTTTTGAGAATCCATCAAATAACCAATATTTAGTCCTTCATACCTATAGATAGAAGAACAACCATTTTAAACATATCAGTACAATATAAGCTTGGTAAACACATTGATCTTGATGTATTTATTTATTGGCTATAAAGAGACAATAGTAGTAAAATGGTTAACATTTTGCCTGGAGTAGAAGTAATTATTACTTATAATTATTATATTTTTAAGCAATAAGAGCCATAATATAGAAGAAGAATTAAGATAGGATTAAAGGGAAATCATCTTGACCTGGAAAAATATTTTAAGTTAATTTAACAACTTTAGTTTGTATGAGGCTTTTACTTTTAAGTTGATTTGATACCAAGTAAATACTTTTTAAGGAATATAAGTTTGTATAGGCTGTATACAAACAAAATGGACAACTTAAATCCTTTTGAGACTAAACCAGAACCATAAAAGTCCTCAGCAAATAGGACTTTTATGTAACCTGAGACCTAGAAATACTGTTTAATAGTTTTAAAAATGATTAGGGTACCCAAGGATAAAAGGCCTTTGAATGTGTAACTGTGTATTTTATTTTGGCATGCCAAAAATAAAACCAATAATTTTGTGCACCATAAAAACAATGAAAAAGGAAAAACTTGAAGTGGCCATATTTTAAAATTGTCTTGACACCAATGATATATGAGGACTATTATCCTAGACACATATGACATACTTATGTGAGATCTCAACACATAAAAACATATAGAAAATGTGACATACTTTTCAACAACATAAGCACTATTGTCAGACGTATATGACACAACTACATGAAACTAGGTGCACCTAAAATGTATTACTTAATATGTTTGATTATGATGAATTTTGTAAGATTTTCTGAAAGAAGGCAGAGCTGGAGTCAAGAGGAAAGCCCCAGTTTGGCTTTATCAGAGAATGCCTTGTAGCATTATTTTACTAACAGAACATGGAATCTGAGTTAAACATAAACGATAAGGTAATTAATTAACATAACCTGTGTTTACACTGAAGCGTAGAGTCTTAGTGGAACTTATATGCCAAAACTTAAAGGTCAGTAATTTCTTAGAAAACAGAAAACCTGGAAATAAATTTGTAGTGAGTAGAAAAAGTTAAAATATTTTCACTATAAAGGGGACAAACAGGTGAATGAAATAAAATTAGGAGAGAGGAACAGAATTGGAAGAGAGAGGGAAAACTAATGAAGTTCATGTGTTAGGAATGGTTCTCATTGTGTGTTAGAAAGGACAGAAGATTTTTTTCTGAAAGAATAGACCAGAAGCCGTAGGGAGTTCAGGCAGCTGCAAGGCTGGGGTGGCGGCCTTGGCAGAGGTGGTTGCAGGAGGTTGTAAAGGTAGCTGTACCCACAGCAGGAGACAGTGCAGGTGTTGGGCCACCCTCAGGAATGTGGGCTCTGCTAGCCTGACCTAGCACGAGTTGCAGGGACCCTCTGGAGTGTCCCACCCAAGAGGCTTGATGGGAGGTGGAGGCAAAAGAAATTGAGCCCTGGGAGAACAAGGAGGCATGGGGGAGCAGAAGAAGGGGAGGATAAAAGAGTGTTAGGAGATAGTACAGGTGGAGGCACAGGAAGAGGGGAATCTGATTGAGGGGGAAGTAACTCTTCTTTAGCATGATCAGAGGAAGGAAACAGACGAGTGGTGGCTCCTCCTTTGTGACAGCAGCACTGTACATTTTTTTTTCTATGTTTCTAAACTCCTGGTTCCTTCTGTCAGGAAGGTGAATTTTCCATAATTACAATTACCCCTTACCTATGAACCAGCTGTGACAAGGTGTTCCAATCACCCAAAGTGGGGAGGATTGTTCTGTCCTCCCCAAGGCAGAGATTGAAAGAGTCCCTGTATCAGGTGCCAGTTATCAGGACTTGGGTTTGCTTTGCTCAGTGGGACCTTTACTTCTGGGGCACAGAGACTGTATCAGCAACACAATAAGGAGTCTGGGATTTGTGCCATTCACAAAAAGCAATTAATTACAAAATTAAGAGGGTTTTTATACATTACAAGTAACTGGCTGTAACGTCATGTTTGGCACTCACATACAAAGATTTAGGCACAAAGAAACAGTCATATAGTCTTTTAGTTTGTGCCAGCAAGATGGTTAGAATTTTACTGTTACCAATGTCTGTCTGGTACTTTATTGGCCACAATGTTTCATTTCTTAGGGCTAAAGCATGGTTAACTTTCAGCTTTTAACTCAGGAGTAAAGTTTTAACCTGGCCTTATTTCTTAGCAAATGATTACTGAGTTATTTGTTCACGACAGGGAGATGAGCTCAAGGCTGTTGACCAAGATGCTTTCCCACAGACAAGGAGCATAAACTTTTTATGTGCCCACTTTCCTTTTGCTAGTCTTGCAGTGCTCTACAAGACAGGGATATCAGAGCTGCTATTTTCAATGCACCTTCCTGTACATAGAACATAGCCTGGACTTAAAAAGTATTAGGCACATCTCATTCTCGGGCATGCTGTTCTGGTTTCCTACATTTATCAATGTGTCACCATGTTTCGGAAAGGTTTTCCTTTGTTTTTGTGACTGAATTTTATTCATGGATTCTGAGTTGATTTGCATTTCAATGTTCCTTCTTCAACATTAATAATTATGTGGGCTGTGGAAGATCATTGTGGGACAATTCTCTAACATGCCCAAGAACCCAGGATAAATCTACAAACACATGCTCTGTTGGACATCTCCAAACTAGAGTCTTCTCTGTTCCTAGTGAGGGACTGAGTCTCTCCTCTGCACACAACCCAGCCAGGCATATTGAGAAGGAGTTAATTTTGTGAAATTATCTTCAGATGTTCATGTTTGTGAACTGTCAAAGAAGAAATCTGTTAAAGATCAACTCCCCCTTACTGAGAAGTAATCAGTTTCCAATATTCCTTTTCTAAGGTTGAGGCCTGCTGACATTTACCAGTTCTGTGTTGGGTTTTTCTCTGATGAGTCTCCACAGGTCTTTTTCATGCTGTCAGCAATGTTATAGCTTTATATGATCAAATTCCCAGTGGCCTGAAGAATATTTTATCTAGAAAATAGAGGAAAGCTGTTTTCAGGCTAATTTCTACCATTTCAGTTTATACATCAAATATATTGGTATCTGTTTTTTCCATGTATCTATGTTATTAAACATGAAGCACAGACTATATTTTCTCTGTCCTCTGTTTAAAATGTTTTCAAAATGCATTACTTGAAATTAGCTAAAAGTATTGTTATTGGAAGACTTGTGTACACTGTCCCTGACATAACACAGAAATAAGTATATATAAATACTCTTTTCTACTATACAGAAACATTGAGAAAATTCCTCTCTGTTCCATAGCTAAAGAACCCTGGGGAATCTGCAGTGCAGTGAGCAGACTGGACATAAGCCAAGAGGACTATGACATGGAGGCTGAGGGTGAGGGTTCAGGCTGTACAGGACTGGTGGAATCCACCCTCCGAGAACAGTGATAGAATTGCCACTGCCAGGCAGGAACAGTTTTGTCAAAAACATTTTCATTGACGTTGGTCAGTATGGTAACTTGACATATCAGGCATATGTCTTCAGCAGAGGGTCCTGTGCTCATCTCTACTGTGGGCTTAAAATTGTCCCCGTTCCCTCAGCAACAGAGCTAAATGCACGTTAATTCATACAGAAAGGAAAAGCCAGTTACCAGGCCCTGAGCATCCACTGACGGGGCAGAAAACCTGTCCCTATAAGTAGTATGGAGGGGTAGTCATAAGGGACAGAAGCCGTGCAAGGTGCTGTCCTGTTCCATTGATGCTGAGACCAGATCTTACATTGTTCTCTTCAGAAAATCAGCTTAAGTGCTGGGAAGTGAATTTAGAGAGTGGAGAGAGGGGACTTTTTTTTTTCTTGCCATGACACTCATGTGTCACAGGATCATCACCAAATACCTCATCCTAAGGAGCAGCTGTATCAGACTTATCTAGAGACACAGAACACACACAATGATTTTATGTTAAAAGAGGATTTATCAGAGTGGCTTACATGATACAGGCTGGTTGTCCAGTAATGCCGTCTTCACAATACCGAGGATGAGAATCCAGTGGCTGCTCAGCCTATGAGGGTGGATGCCTCAGTCATCCGAACCTGGTACTGATATTCTGGAGGATTCTGGGGGAGTCACTGATCTTTAGTTTATGATGGAATCTTGAAGAAATTGGGTTCTGACATCAGGGAAGGAATGGAGCTGCAGTGTCAGCAGGAACAAGACGGATGAACTTGACAATGAGACTGAGAGGCAGTAATGGAAGGAGCGGAGCTTTCCCTTCCCACACCATGTATCTGGGCTGCACCAGATGGGACCACCCACACTTAGGGGGAGGTCTCCTCACGTCTTGAATTTCACACACAAAGAACATTTCTCAAAAGTGTGCCCGCTGTTCCTCATTGCTGACTCCAGATCTAATTGAACTGACAACCAAAATTTGTCATTACAGTCAAGTTCTTTCATTATACTGCAATCATGTGTTCCCAAACTCCAGAGATACTGAGCTCTCCTTGATGCATACAGGTAATAATCAGGTCATTTGCGGGCATGCTATACCCACAGTGGCTAAGAACCCTGATGTTCACAGGAAATTTGTGTCAGTGTTTGACAGGGCTGTCTTCATGGGACTGTACTATGGAGAGATCCAGAATCACATGCCAATAGTGTGGTTCTATCCAGAGGACCATGAGCAGTACCATCTTCTCCCTGTACATCCCCTGTTTTCAGGAAGGCTCAGCCTGAATCTGTGCAGGTTGGGGACTGCAGAGAAGTGCATCAAAACCTATCACTCACAATTGAGCTTTATGTCCGCAGTGTGATACATTTTCAGCATTTGGCAGCAAATTGTCTTTTCTACAATAATTGCTATATTGTGCTGATTTTGTGAGCATAAAAATAATGTTTCCTAACTAAAGAGACTGTGCTCAAGTCATGTTTTTCTGATGTAGGCAAAGGGAAAGGGAGTGTCATCATCTCTACAATCAAATCCTACATTGACATCAGCAGCCTTCCTCCTTGTGGAGAGGACTTAAAGCACACTCCCTCCCAGGTATGGCTGAGGGAGTTGCATGTTCAGTGTCTCTCAGAGGACATGAGGAAGAGGAGCTACTACCTGAATCCAGGCCCTATTGTCAAAGGGCTTAGCTACTCTCCTTCACAATAAGCCTGAGCACTAGGTCATTAGCAAGTCAGGCCTTGACACAGCATCCTGCCCACTCTTCCTTTTTTTGCACATCCAAATGAACTCACCAGAGCGGTGGAAATAGGTGTGTGCTGGTCTGGATTCTAAGAGAGAATGTGATCCTGTGGGATCCATGAAAGGGGAGGATCCTAATCCAAAGGGGTTCCATAAATGTCTGCTGCTCACATAATATTGTGGCTTCCTCTGTTTTGAAACCCCAGGACTGATGTGGACAGTCCCGTGTCCCTAACTTCCATACTGGGCTTTTTCATACAACGAATCAGTGTTATTGAGAGAAGCATAACAGACATGAGAGGGCTGACAATGCAGCAGTTCTGAGATATGCTCCATCCCAGAAGTCCCACAGTTCAGAAATCCTTTGGGGCCACAAACATGGAGCACCACATCTTCAGATGAGGAAATCTAGAGTAGGAGTAAGAAAGCTTTCTGAGAAGGTCACCTCTCACAAGTCTGAGACAACACCGAACCAGCCCATGTTCCCCCTCCCTGAGGTGCAGGTTATGTCACTCTGAGAGATTCATCCCGTGGATGAGCTCATAACACTGACCTTAGATGATGCTGGAAGATGACTTCCCCTCCTTAGACAAAATGAAAGTGTCCTATGACTAATTGAGCACTGTCACACCCACTACTGAGGTCCTTGTCGGTCCTGGGTACATTCAGAAGTAGAGGTGACAGGGAGCTGTTGTAGACAGAAGGAAAATGCATAAAGGGCTGTCAACCTGTCTGTAAATGAAGTCTTACTAAGCCTTTCTCTGAGGACCTTGGTTTCTCCATCTGATTTGCCTGACTCTCTTCTCCTAGCTCCCATCCTCATCTCTCTCTGTCTCCCTGCATCTCTTTCTCTCACACCAGCTGTCACCTTCTGGGGTTCCCCCGGCCAAGCTAATGGAAAATTATTTTTGACCCACAGAACTATTGAGTGGAAGATAGCCATTTCTCACCTGAGATCAGATTCAGGTCAATGGGCACTTCCCACACTTGGTGACTTCTATATTAACTGAACTGAAACCTGTGGTTGGAATTCACAAGACCCATAGTTTGCAGGGCCTGAATGTACCCATTTTGCTGTTATTACAGGGTCAAGGAGGGCTTTGGTTCCTGTTCCTCCATTAGAATCAAGCTCCACATGCAGACATCCAGTACACACTAGAGAGATGTGTACTCTATTGATTTCAACCTACATCTAGGCAGGGAAGACAGGCAGGTTTTGCTCTAGAATCCACAGAGGGAAGGAAGCAGTGTGTTAATAGGCCTTTCACCACCCACAGAGTCCTCCATGTTTGATGTGTGTGAAAGGGGACACCCATAGTGCAGACCCCATTTCCTTGTCAGATGGATCTAACATGTATGAAAATACACGTTGTAAATGTGCAAGGGATAGGAAATTCAGCCACAGATATCTGCACTATAGGAAGAAGGAAAGGGAAGAACCTAAATTCAATAATAATACAAGGGTGTGATTCCCTGCAGTGAGGGCCCACTGAAGCTGTGTGGGTCCCAGGGGACAAAGCCTGAGCAGAGGGCACAAAAGGCTTGGAAATGCTTACTCAGAAAGGGAAACAGCAGATGTTCTGAGAAGTACAACTTACACAGGGTGCTGTGGCTCCAAGGTACTATCAAACAAGGAAGATATGTTGTGGTTTCATTCTTAGTTCTGTGGGAAATTATTAAGCAAAGCAATTAATGCACATCTCGTTGTAGTGAGTCAACTGTTTGCTAGGGAGGAGCAGTGTGGAGAGTGGGCCCACGCGAGAGTGCCCAAGATGGCGCCCGGGCACCCTGCCAAGCCCCATGACGAGTTAATGGCGCATGCGCAGCAGTGAAGGAAAGCATGGCTGCTGGCACAAGGGCTCAGGGACAGAGTGTCCCGACCAATCCTGTCTAGCGATCTGGCTCGTGTATCCTATGGAATGTGGTGTGATTGGAGGGAGAAGGAGATAAAAGGGGATGGAACGGGGCAAAAAGGAAAATAAAAAAAAAAAGAAGTTTGACCCGGCCGTTGGTGGTGGTCGTTTTTACTGATCGTTTTTACTGGGCTCTGCTGGACAGAGCCCGGGGAAGCGGCAGTTGGTGGCCCATATGGGGATCCTCTCATTCTCACTTTTACTTTCGCTTTTGCTGTGGTGGCCTGTATGGGGAGCCTCTCATTCTCATTTTCACTTTCGCTTCTTCCTTCATGGACAGTTTTTTTGTTGTAGTGTTTTTCCTTGTCACCGCCATTGTTTTCTTTTTGTTGCTGTTTTTGTTCGTGGTCCCTTCCTGTTGTTCAGAGTGCAAAGTGTGACTGTAATACAATAAGTAAAAGAAAAAAGGAAAGGTAAGGTTTGCTAGCAAGTTAAAGTGCCCGGTTTATAGGGATGGAGAAGCTCCTGGGAAAAAAAAAGGACAGGACGAAACATATATTCACATAAGGAAAAACATGGGAAACTTACATGCTAAGCCCAAGGTACAAAAGGCTCTGATTCAGTTGCTGAAAACCTGTGTAATAAAATTAAAGGACTCCACAGTGGAAACATTCCTTGAGGCAGTCAGGGAAGTGGCTCCATGGTTTGTAGAGGAGGGCTACGTTAACAAGGAGTCATGGGAAAAATTAGGGTGTGACCTGCTTGATGCGGACACGGAAGGGAAATTACCCAGAGGTGTTTTGGCGGTTTGGACTTTGGTCCGCTCCTGCCTGATGGATACATCGGGGAAATATATTGAGGATCTGAAACAGGGCGAGCAGGCATTGGAGGAACTAAAGGAGGAACGCTCCATAAACTCTCAGAGGGCTGATAGTGCAGAAAAGGAGGATGCAGAAAGCCAGGACTCAGATGATCTGGAGTCCGTTATGTAGCATTTAAATCCCAGAGGTGTTTTGGCGGTTTGGACTTTGGTCCGCTCCTGCCTGATGGATACATCGGGGAAATATATTGAGGATCTGAAACAGGGCGAGCAGGCATTGGAGGAACTAAAGGAGGAATGCTCCATAAACTCTCAGAGGGCCGATAGCGCAGAAAAGGAGGATGCAGAAAGCCATGACTCAGATGATCTGGAGTCTGTTATGCAGCATTTAAACATTAGAGAACCCACTAAAGATAAGGGAGGACAGGAAGACCAAAGATGTGGCTGCGAAAAGCTAATTAATCAAGGGAGAACTACCCCTGGACGGGGGCCACCACCACAGTATATGTCAAGATCTCCAGGTCCTCCTGTGGTGGTGCCATCCGGGGTGGCACAGATGCGATTCTCTCACATATGGGGACAAGAAGAACTAGGTATAGGGACCTCTGCTTTTCCTGTATTTGAGGACCATACCAATAATAATCAGAGATACCATGAGCCAGTGGAATGGAAGATTATAGAGAGGATTAAAACAGCTGTCTCTGGCTATGGTCCCCAAGCAGCATATACCCTGACCCAAGTTGAGGGCCTTAAAAGATTTTGCATGACCCCATTTGACTGGGGCAATTTTTGCAGGGCAGTATTATCTGGAGGTCAATACTTAGTATGGAAAGCTGCCTACCTTGATTATTCACCTCAGACCGTGGCAGAAAATGCCAGAAATGGTCAACCTGCCTGGAGTATAGACATGCTTATGGGGCAGGGGCAGTTTGCAAATAATCAGATAGGATATCCAGGGCAGGTGTATAATCAAATTAATGATAATGCCCTAAAAGCCTGGAAGGCTCTTACCGGCTCCGGGGACCTCAGTGCTAGTTTGTCCAAAGTGTTACAGGGACCAACAGAGCCGTTTGCAGATTTCCTAGCCAGATTGATGGAGACGGCTGGCAGGGTATTTCCAAATGTAGAGGAAGCTATGCCCCTGGTTAAACAGCTGGCGTTTGAGCAAGCCAACAAGCCCTGCCGTGATGCCATCCGACCTTATAGAGCCCAAGGTTTGGATGTATGGATAAAACTGTGCAGAGATATTAATGAGTTTACCATACAGGGACAAGCACTTGCTGCAGCCATCATGGCAGGAATGTATAAGCGTGGAAACTCCCAGCGAGAGAAAAGGGCCCCAGGGTGCTTCCAGTGT